TTATATGACAACCGTACAAAATTAGACCGGGTTATGAAAAAAAAAAACATTGAATTATCCATACTCCACAGTCGTCTGTCACTGTCACGTTCATTATTCATGTTTTTCAAGTTCATGCCATGTTTGATTTGGATTGTATCACCAGTCGTGTCAAAAACTTGCAATCATTTAGTTATTTACATCATTCAAGCTTACTCTATGCTTGCAATTGTTAACAATTTTCATCACCCCCAACAGATGTGTTTAACAGCTTTAAGGACAAGGAGGGGAAGTTCATGGACGAACTAAGTAAAGACATGAGGGGATTGATTAGTTTATATGAAGCTTCGCAGCTTGGTATAGACGAAGAAGATATACTTGATGAAGCTGCGAATTTTAGTGGCCAGCTACTTAATGCATGGGAGACTCATCTTGATCATCGTCAAGCCAGAGCTGTCTCAAATACAGTAAAACATCCCTACCACAAGAGCTTGGGAGGGTTCCTGGCGAAGAACTTTATCAGAGATTTTGAAGTTTCCTATGGATGGGAAAAAGTCTTGCAAGAACTAGCAAAAATGGATTTCAACATGGTTCAGTCCATACGCCAAAAGGAAGCACGTCGAGTTTCCAAGTATGTTGCTTAATGATTATACAGTTTTGTTATTACATAAGGTGATGTTACGACTCAATACAGTGAGGTTACAATAAAATAGGGTTGTTTGAGGTGATCGTACGTAGTACAACGTTAGAATAGTTCTAACATTTACGATTGATCATAACCTTTTGGGATAAATTCCAACTGTTTTAGTAAAAATTTAACCTTTGGCGTTGTTGCTCGATGCATTCTAAATCACTTTACCGGATTGAGTTGTAACTTTACTCTTATTATAGTTATTTTCTTTGTGATACCAAATTCGATATTGTAAGTTGTTCCCTAGTTTTCTCTAATGAAATTGATTGTCATCTTAGATGGTGGAGAGACCTAGACTTGGCTACAGAGTTGAAGTTTGCAAGGAACCAACCTCTTAAATGGTACGCATGGCCGATGGCCATCCTTACAAATCCAAGCTTGTCAGAGCAAAGGATCGAGCTCACGAAGCCCATCTCTCTTGTGTACCTATTAGACGACATTTTCGATGTTTATGGGACGCTTGATGAGCTCACTCTCTTCACAGAAGCTATCAACAAGTATGTATCAATAAAAGTGTTTCTCTATAGTCTATGTATATATCATCCTTATTTATCACAATATATAATGATAAGACATGAATTATTGTTTGCAGATGGGACTTTGTTGCTGTTGAGCAACTCCCAGACTACATGAAGAAGTGTTTCAAGGCTGTTTATGACATTACTGAAGACATCAGTAACAATGCCTACAAAGACCATGGATGGAACCCTATTGACACCTTAAGAGAAACAGTATGATTATTTCTTTTCGGGTAGCCTCGTGAGTAAAAGAGAAATGATTGTTTAAGTTCTTATCTTATCTAAAAAAAGTTGGGACGTGAATACATACATACATACAAACGTTCCTTCCCTTATGAGCCCAATCGTTGGCCAAACATATCCAAGACTTGTAATAAATATCATTGTCATGAAGCGAGATTTGAACATGAACATCCTTGTCAAATCACAATCTCAATGTAAATCTTACACTGTGAGAGGATGTAACGTCCATATTGATATACTTCGACATATTCTGATGAATTATTGATTTTTTTTTTTGCAGTGGGCAAGTTTGTGCAATGCGTTTCTAGTAGAAGCCAAATGGTTTGCTTCTGGGCATGTACCAGAACCAGATGAGTATTTGAAGAATGGGATTATTAGTTCAGGGGTACCCATGGTGTTGGTACACTTATATTTTATATTGGGGCATGGTAGAGACAAAGAGAGTGCCAATATTGTGAAGAATAATCCAGGCCTTTTATTTTCTGTGGCCACAATCCTTCGTCTTTGGGATGACTTGGGAAGTGCCAAGGTGACTCACAAAATCACTACTGATAAAAGTATTGGGGATATGAAAAAGGCTATTAACCCCCGGCTAATTTAAGTAGTAATAAAAACGAATTGTAAAATTAGACGTGTGCAGTTCAAATCTTGACAATCTCTTAGAATTAAGCTATGAGAAATTTATCTTTTATAAATACCCTAGTCCTAGCGTAAATGATTTGTCTTTTACTAGACCAAGAAAAAAAATATTCGAAGTGCGCAAAAATTGGCCTAAACTTCCTCGCCGTTGAACCAAAAAAAAAAAAAAACCAATTAGTCGGTCTTCGCTACTCTATCCAATAGTTGTCATTTCCTTCGATTATCGTGTTTTGCAATAAGCATGCACCATCTTAGTTTAACAATCTCTGATAAGTGCCTTGGTTTTATTGACAGGATGAGAATCAAGAAGGCCGTGATGGATCTTATGTGGAGTGTTACATGAAAAAACACAAAGTCTCTTCAGTTGAAAGTGCACGAGAACATGTTATGAACACAATTTCAGAAACATGGAAGAACCTCAACAAGCACTGTCTCTCCCCAAATCCATTTTCAGCAACTTTTACCAAGGCTTGTCTGAATGTTGCAAGAATGGTGCCCTTAATGTACAGTTACAACGACGATCATCGCCTTCCAGTCCTCGAAGAGCTTATCAAATCAATGCTCTTTGACACTTTACATGATTAGAGTCTTCATAATGATCGTTCGAAGTTTCTAAATAGATCTGTGTAATTTTCAGTGCAGAGAAAATATTAAATATCTAATACATTATCTAATATATATATAATATACGCATATTCTCTGTTGATCAAACTCTTTATCCACTGCTATCCATGTTATTTAATCATCTTGCCTCTCAACTTCTACCCTCCAAGACAATTGTTATTTTTTTAGTAACGAGGAATCTCTCTAATCAATGGCCACATATAGTACTCATTCTTGTACATAAAATCTTGAGTATTCATAATTATCCACTAACCACATACTTCGATTAACTTAAGAGATACCAATGAGAATTGAACCTAAAATATCCGAATTTTTAATTGGATGAAAGCGATACTAATAATCCTCTCAATTATGTCCATTATCTCTCGCACTTTTCCTAAATTATTACATTTCTCACATCCTTCAAACTATGGTCATTGATTCTACTTATTCTCCCCTTAACTATTGCGTAAGTTTTTTACATTGTACCTTCAACCATGCTTACTGATTTCACATTACATTTGTTGTAGGTACTGAAAGCCGGTATTTTACTACACATTAAAGCATTTCCACAAATATTGTGTGTATTCCAAATTCATGAATCACGAATCAAAAAATGCTATGAAATAATGAAAAACGAAAAGATTCATCAGATTCTATGAAGTACACATACAGATACGAGATACGGGTATGATATGATATGAATACGGTTATACGACAAACTCTAAAAAAATAGGATACGGGTACGGTCAAGATACGATTATAATAAAATATATTTAATACTTTTATTATTTTTAACCAACTTAATAATTATATATTTTGGTAGTTCTTTAACACAATAAAAAAAATTAGTAATTTTTTTTAGTTTCAAGAAAATATATATCGTATCACTATGATATATTTGTAAAATGAAGTGATTAATTAAAAGAATCAAAACTAATAGTTACTGAGTCGATTTATTTAGAAGTAATTTTACTAAGACTATAATGTAATACATATATTTTATACTCTCTTGACTTCTAATTGTAGATAATACTTCAAAAATATTTATCTACTTTTTGAAGTAATATGAATTTTTGTTAATGTATTATTTAGTATGTAAATTCAAAAGGAAGTGATAAAAATTTAACTCAAAAACTATATATATTGGTTGAACACAAAAGTATCCGTGAAGTATCTTAATATTTAATTATTATCGGATACGTCGAAGTACGCATCTTTGAATATCCGATGAGTATCGTATCCGATACCGTATTCAATACGGATACACTGACCTCAGCGAAATATCTGTGCTTCATAGTGTAGATCTAATCATCTCATTCTATTATATTGATAATTTCAAAAAACTATTCATACTGTGATCTTAGTATGGTAGCGATTAGGCAAGTATGGCCCCATCGTCTAGTGGTTCAGGATATTTCTCTTTCAAGGAGGCAGGGGGGATTCGACTTTTCCTGGGGTAGGGTAGTACGAAAGAAAGAAAGTTGATTATAGATTATCAATAAGCCTAAAATGAATTTTCTTAGGTCGATGTCTCAGTGGTTAATGGGGACAGAACATAAATTCGCTGACAATATGTCTACACTGTTTAAAATCCAGCTCGGCCCAATAATTCGCCAATCTACCAAAACATTGTTCATGGGCCACCAATGCAATGATTTGCTTTTGCCAAACAATAGTCAATAGAGAAAACTGCCAGGGATATCTAAGCTCTAATGTAATCAAAAGCAACCAACCCTCCTGGAATTTGAAATTAAGGATTAACCTGTGGCTATGAAACTAGCTATCAAGTCTCATCATGTGGAATTGAAGCATAGGAGTGACCGATGTATTGAAAACACTCATTGAATGACACTAATAACTTCCATATTTAATTGGATTGTACATGGTTGGTCAAGTTCCACTATATTGACACGATAAAGGGCGGCACCTATACTAGGCTCCTGTTATTTCAGGGTTTGAGAAAGGTTAAATATACACAGTTTTACTCCCCCCCCCCCCCCCCCTCGCCCCTTACATGCCATTACAAGATTTCAAGAGATTGTTTCCGTGACTTGAACACTTGGCGTGCAAATCACAATGGCCTTGCCACTGCAAAAAAACTGCCCTCGTATATATATATATATCGGTAGTGTGTGTGTGAGAGAGAGAGAGGGTGCGGGTTTGACATAAACCCCTACCTATTTATTAGAACAAATACAGAGTGCATGACAGACAAAAACTCACGAGCCTTGCTCCATAGTTACTAAAGACATTGTTACAATCTTCAAATTATGCTATATATGCAGTCACGAGTTCCCACCATTCTTATCTTCCCTATGACAAGATTATTGCTGATAATACCTCTCACCACCATAGATAGACCACCCATGGTATCCTCCTCCACCTCTCTGTTCACCATACCCAAATGGACTTCCAAAAATATAATCTGCAGCTCCCTTCCATGGGTTAAAGTTGCTTCCTTCGTTGCCATTTTCGTGATTTCCATTGTTGCTCTGGTCTTTCCTATTCAAACATGGCCAGTAACCAAATAGACTCTCACAAAGGTCCATGGCTTCCAATCCAGACCCATATGCAGCCACTTGCTTCTCATACTCAGAACCATACCCTCTAGTTCCTCCATTCCCATACCCATAATCATATCCAGAAGAAGGATAATCACTGTTATTATATTCCTCTCTCTCTTCACTCTGGTTTAAGTTTACTGGCTTCTCAAGATTTCTGTCATTGCCACGGTCATGTCCACTGTAATCCCTACTTTCACCATTTGATTTCTTCCCTTCTTCACTAGTATTAGAAGCTTTGCTTCCATTACTCGATTTTATTGCTAAGTCACCTGTTTCATCTTTACCATAAGGTGAAGAAATAGCTCCATATGAGAAACCATTCAAGGCTAGGCCATTAGACTCTGGCATGGAACGAGGGTAACAGATTTCATTCGAGGGTGGAAGGGGTTTGCCATAGGTTGTAGTAGGATCAAATCCACCATCATAAGGTGTCGGATCGTACTCCACAAATTCAGGCACATTAAACTCCATTTCAGAGTAAGAGATTTTGTATTGTGTCCCGGAAGAAAAATAACCAATACCACAAGGAGTTGGTTCATACTTGATCAATTTGGGTTCACTGAAACTGTAAGTAGAATAACTAATCTTGGATCGAGTTTCATAAGGATCATAAGCATCACAATAAGTAGTAGGATAATATTCAAGTAGCTTGGGCTCATTAAAACTATAGGTAGAGTAATTGATTTCGGGTGAAGTTACAGAGTAATAATCACCATCACCATAAGTAGCAGGACAATCAGTCGATTGAGGCTCATTGAACTCAAAGCCAGAATAAGATATTGAAGCTTGAGTTGAAACATCATGATTATAAGATTCATAGCTACTCACATAAGGGTTCCAATGGTACTCACCAGAATCACCCTCGTAGAAATCGGAGCCGTAGTAAGACATTATGGATCATTCACCTCTACAATCTCCCCCAGAACCAATCTCAGTAGTGATTCATGTTTGAGATAGCTGAATTATTGGCAAAGAGAAAGAAGGACCCCATCAATCCTCAAGAGAAACTGAATACAGTTCAATACACACCTTTTTTTGTATGGGTATTCAAAACTCAGCCACTGGATTCTTATCTTATCCGAAAAGATATGTCACTGTGTTGGAACATGATTGCTTGAAAGAATCAAAGCGATATATGATCATAGTAAAATGAATACTGCCGTTGTAAAGAAGGGGTGAGTGGCCCTTTTGGCCTTAATCTTTGAATAGGACAAGAATGTCAAACACCTATGATTGATACAGTCTACCTTTTTCAAGCTCTAGTTGAATAATAAAAGTACGATATCGAAAAAATATTTTTCGGTATCATAATGAGACCCCACCTATTAGAAATGGAGGTTAATCTGATCATACGCTTTAGACTGCACCAATGGATGTTAAGTAAAGCTATTGAAAACAATTCTGAGAAATTTTGATATCTGCTGAAAGAACAGGATGGTCTTTTTGGTGGGTCATGGAAGGAGTCCTAGAAGGAAACTCTATCATATGGATAGTTTAAGTTTGAGATGGTGACTAATGAATTATTGAGGTGATCAAACAGTTGGACGATAACAATCAGTGAAAAATGCAATGTATAAAAGTAACCATATTTTTTGTCAATCAAACAAGGAGGACCCATTGCATGTGGATTTAGGCCAGAAGTTAATGTGACAAGTTTTGGCATCAGGCACAAAAGAACCATGGCCCATAACCCAAAATTTTCCCCTTATTCCCCTTTGAATCTCTTGCTCAATTGCAGCCGAAGAGGAGTTGGAGCACCAGATCCCAATGATCCAGGCCTTGTGATTTAAAGATGGCTGGGACTAGGATCTAGCGGCCGTAAAGGTTCCCTAGGACTCTGAGCTCTATTCTATATAAAAGTGAAAAGGGTCGGTTTTACTTTTTCAACTAATAAAAATATGACACGTTTAAAATTTTTTATTTTATTATTTCCAAAATGGTTAGAAATCAAAGACAAAGGCCAACCTTGCTCAACAAACCAAAGACCAAAAAATTGACACATTCCAACACTTACCTACACTAGGTCTAGAGACCCAAAATTTGATGGATGTCCAAAACCCCATCCACTTGCCACATCCATTAGCACTTCCAACTATCACCATATGCAGGGGTTCCTAGATGTGGGTTGAGGCCGTGAGAAAGAAAAGGCATAATTTTCTAGTAACTACTCAAGGATATGGTTTCACAAACAAGCAATTAGACAAGACTGCTCCACAGAACCAATCTAGAGTAACCGGTACAGATGTAGTTAAATTAAGTGGACTTCAAGGTTCCTTTGCAAATGGTTGCAATCAACCAATCTTAGTCTCCATCCACATAAATATAAAATGAAACAAAACCAAAGAGAGCCCGAGATCATGGTGTACAAAAGGCATCTTGCAAGGCTAAAGGGCTACATGTGAAACTCATTGCATAACTGTAAGTGGTGATGACAGAACGCATTAAGCTTGTTTCGGAAGCATTTTTTCTTTGACTTGGTCAGTTTTTTGGATGCTTTAATGTTTTCTCGAAGCTCAACTAAAGGTACATACAGAATGCACATAAAACCAGACTTACATATAGTGACCAGAATACAAGGACGCACACATAGACTTATCAATCGTTGTGAATTATATGACCTACAAATCAAAACAAAGAACAAATAATTGTATAACAAATATGTTTATCTAAGATTACCAATTCACAACCAATTCGACATTACATCAAACTCATACAACATTGCTTCTTACTCCTCATAATAAAACCAAACCGCAGGCCTCACAGTAAACAATTGGACAATTAGTGCAGGGACCCAACTCGAGATATAAGCAGGGATTTCAAATCTTAACTACCTATGTATCTTCCTAAAACTGTCATGTAACATTTGCTTAAGAATAATGTACCATTTCCATATGGCGATTCCACTCCAAAAATTAAACAATAACCTGAAAAGAAGCACAATGGCAAAAACAACACTATGAAATCAATGAATTATACCGAGAAGAGATGAAGAAAAAAGTTTTAAATCGGCAATAAAATTTGATAGTATTGTGTGGAAAAGTTTGCGTGCTTGCTCATATGGAGAAGGAAACAACTGCAGGCAAATGGAGAATAGAAGTCCTTATCAAAATAGTGAATCATAGAAAGGAAAAAGAATACCAGGGCATGTCGATATAAGTAGAGCTCATCCAGAGGCAGAATCTGGAGAAGGCGTCTCTTGCCTTGGTCTTCTTCGTTCCGGAGGAGGGCCATCTCTCTGTCTGACATATGCTTTACTCTTGTATTTTGATCGATTGGACTGCTTTGGTTGATAAGTAGGGTACTGACAAGGAATGATCTCCCCATTGATATACTTGTCACCTAAAGCAAATCAAAAAGTACAATTATATCACTGGGTAACATCACTTATTAATACCAATGTGGAAAACATGTCTTCATTAGGTATCACCTCCATAGTCTTTGTTCTTGACATCTATATATGAATCTGGTAGTACCCACAGAACTCCAGGCAACCCTACAAATGATGAAGACATAAGCAGACAATTAGAATCAATCCTTGAAGTCGGCCTCTTCATGAAACCAATACCAATACTTACCCTTAAATTTTTCTGATGTTTCTTCTGACACAGTGCATTGAAATCCAGTGTAGGTGGTGGTACTAAAAGCATACATGTTCTTCTTTGCTTCTTCCATACTGACAACCACAAATAGAAACTAATTGTGTAAGGCACAATAACACCAATTAAGTAGATAAAGGGAACATCTGAAATGACTCAATTTACTAAGAAAAGTCCCCAACTCCAACAAACTTCCTCTTCACTAACACCATCATCTACTATAACAACTGTATAAATATCCAAATAGCTTTGATGTCCTCGGATGTTTTATTAGGAATTGATTACATTTTCGACAAGCATAAAAATGAAAATTGTTCCTTACGATCATTTTCTTGCATACAAAAATGGTTTCACAACGGCAAACTGCAACATGCCAACCCTCAAATACATTAAATGTTTGTATTTTGTAATGTATTCTTTAATCCATAATTTTAACTGCTTTTCACCTTGAAAAACCAAAACAAGTGTGGTTTTTGAGGATAATTTCTACTTAACAACGAGAGAAGAACATTAATCATTGTAGTTGTTTTAGTAAATAATCAGCCTCATCATGCTCACCTTACCACAATTTTTTCTCTTACCAACCAACCAAACCAAGCCGTATGTCTTGATCATATGGGATCAGCTATATGAGCCCGTCTTCCCTATTCATTTCGATTACGCGCTATACGGTTATTAAAGTAAAATAGTTTCATATATTTTTTTATTATTTTGTTCAATATTAATTTAGATCTACCCCAACTCCTAGTACCGTTAAGAGAAATTCTATCACTTTTTCTAATCGGTGCCTCTACCAGCCTCTGTTGAACATGACAAACTATCTTAATCTATTTCCACTCAAATTATCCTCAATTGGAGCTCTACCTTCCTACCATTTCTCTAATACGGTTATTTCATTCTATCCTTTCTAGTTTTTTCATACATCCATTTTAACATTCTAATTCCCGATACACTCATTTTGTCACTATGTCGTTTCTAATTGCTCTATAAACGGCCCATATAACAATGTTATCCTTGTAACTGTTCAGTAAAATTTGGCTTTCAATTTTATTGGTATCCTCCTATTATATAATATGTCAGGCTTTCCACCACTTAAGCCAAGCAACGATGATTTGATGAGTTACATCTTCTCCAATCTCCCAAAAAGTATGATAACATAAGAGAAAACGCAAACTATCAGATTCCTCATATAGTTCCATAATTCCAATAAATAGTAAAGTTAACACTTAAAAACAACAAACATTACAAAGAGCGACCAACCCCACTACACATCCACATCAAAAATTGGAATAATAAAACCTTAGAACCATCAAAGTTACATACCCACATACAAACCCAAAGTTAAAATGCGATACAGACACACAAACACGCACACAGAAAGACAAACAAATAGTTATGAACGAATTGGATATGCAAAAACCTTAAAAAACACAAAAAAAAAAATCAGACCTTCCAAGCACAGTGGTGAGAGTATTGAGGTAAGTGTCAATCATCTGCTCTCTAGTTGGAGCAGGGTCTTTAGGGAACTCCATAACTATCAACCAATGATTATAATCACAACCCGGTAACATTATCGTCTCTCTGGGTTCATTGCTACTACTCCTTCTGGCCGAGTAATCCCTATCCACCACGGCCCTTATTACAGGAGTTCGAGACTGGGTTGGGTTGGAGTGTTGGCGGGTACATGAAAAACGAAATGAGGAGGAGAGTAAAAGGCCTCAAGATGGAGGTGGGTGGTGGTGGTGAAGAGTGATGAGATGGGTTTGGAGTTGGAGTTTGACGGTGTTGGATTGGTTGGTATCAGAGAAAGATAAAGAGTTGCCATTAGAGACGAAGGCCCGATGGAGAAAAGATAAGGTGGAACAGCAGAGTATAAACCGGAGACAGATTTTTATGAAGGGCAAAGTAGTCTAAATGTAACCCATCAAAGTAGTCCAGATGTACTCCACGTAACTCATGAATAGTTTAAGTGAATAGTAGCATCGTGATAATTTTTAGAGTTATTTTTTATGAATATTTTAATTTTGTTGTGAGTGATCTACTTTTAATCGAATTGAAGAATAAATTAATTGAAATATGTAAGTTGATTTAGACATTCCTGAGCATTGAAAAAAAAATTGGTCCAATGTGTTAGTTGCAATGAAATAATTGTGATTAATTACGGTGACAATGATATTTTTGTAAAACAATGACACACATTGGAATTTTATTTTATACAAATTTCAGCTGTTTTTTTCTCAATTTGTAACTATTTAATTTTCTTAAAAATAATTTTTTGTAATCCTCTTTGCAAGTTCTAAAAAATTAAGGGCGACAATAGAAGAAAAAATAATGTCAGGATGGACTTAACTCTTTGAGTTCCGTTTTGATACCACTTATTATTGTCTTGCAATTTAGACACCTTAAATTATTAAGGGAAAAATTATCGTAGATCTTATAAGTTTGAACATCGCTTCTTATTTAACTTATGTGCAATTTTTCACACAAAGCTCTAAATTAATATTCGGATTGTTTTGCAAAACAATGAATCAACTTGTCGATAAATCTAGACAATTGAACTAGAGAATCATTGTTTGGTGTAAAAATTAACACTAAATGACTCTTCACAATACCTCCAAGACGACCCATAGGTGATGTGATATTGTAATCCTCTATTGGTTGGTCCAATGATTAAATCATTGATAGTACAAATTGTTGCTAGGACAGGGTTAAAAATTATGCCAATTGGGTTTTACTAAAAAGTTGTTCGGTTCTAATCCTCATTATACTTGTCTCAAGATATTAAACGGGGAAGAGAGATGTCGCTTAAGTTATTTTGAGTGAAAAAAAAAATAATTCCTCAAAAAGAAACCTCTTGACGAAGATTTCCTCGACCCACTCAGGAGTTTCAATTTCTACTAGAAAACAAATATCTAGAGGTATTAATCGAAACGAACTACTCGGATTCGACTCGAATAAGATTTGACTCGTGTTTTAAACGAGTTGGGATTAAACATATTTTTAGGCACAATTAAAAAGACAAATCCAAAGGCTAGGCTAAAACTCGTAAAGTTTGACTCGTCTATATATAAAATAGTAGAACTACTCGGGCCGACTCAAGTTTTAAACAAGTCGAGTTTGAACAATTTTTTAGACTCGTTTAAAAAAATGAGCTCGACGAGTTCGGCTCGATTAACACCCCAACAAATATCTTAAGTAGTAATGAAGGATAAATCGAACCAAAAAAATAAATAAGATTTCAGGGGTCCGGTACCTTTTTTTGAAAATATATGACAAAAAATATCACATTTAAAAATATCAGTCAAAAAGTACACAAATATATAGTAAATGTCTAAACTACCCCGCTTCTGTAGAAGGGAACAGATTTCTAAATATTTGCATACACAACCGAAAACATCTAGGATATCAACTAATACTCATAAACTCTTTCAATATCATCGAAAAAACTTTCATTCTTCAAAGATTGATGAGAAAATTTTCATTCTTTTCAAAACGTCCTGCTAATCGTTGAAGAAGAAGTGAAAATCACTGTGAATAAGTGATAGATTTTTTTATGGGTTCACTATTAATAAGTGAAAATCTCTATAATAAACGGTGACGATTACACCGAACTTCATCGCTAAAGAAGAAGGTTTATATTGTGGTGAAGAACAACGGTTGAAATTGTTGAAGTTTTTGAAAAAAATGTTGATAACTCAAGAAAAACGTTGTTTGTCCGAACATTTTTATTTTATCTATTTTTTTTTCTCAACTACCTTTTCTATTTTTAGTTCTTGGTACTACATGCATACCAAGTGTTTGTTCATTTGCCAAAAAAAAATAAAATCAAAGAGACTATATACAACTGCATTATCACAATAGACCTTACCCTGTCATCACCACCTTTTCACAACTCTAATTCCATCCACAAACACAATTTGTCCTATTTTGTTTGTTTGTGATACTATGTAATCTTATTTACATTAGATTTAATTATTCATGATGTATATTGTGCCCCCGTGTCATTTCAATGTATGTAGTGTGATATTCGTTTGTACCAGTGTGACATAGGCTAGTATTAGTGTGACATAGGTTGGTTTCAGTGTGACATTGACTTGTATTAATGTGACATTGACTTGTAATACTATGATATTTGTCGTGTATCACTGTGCTAATGTGACATGCATCACTATGCCAATATGAAATGTACCACTGTTAAGGATGACAGTGAATCGAAGCAAGAGCGGGGGGTATAGTCTCCATCCCCATACCTGCTTAAAAAAATTACGTTTGTCCCCAATCCATCCTCGTTAATAGGTATATTTTTCATCTACATCTCCGTCCACGGGTAAATTTGTAATCCCCACCCTTGCCTCGTCCACCACCTTCACCTCCGTCCACTTTACCCACGCAAGCTCAAACTCAAGCCAATATAAATTTAAAATTCTAAATAAATTTAACATTCTAAATAATGCAACATACTTATAAAATATCATAACATAATTAAAAGTTTGTCATTTACAACATAATATAATTAAAACCTTGACTACAACATAATCCAACATAATATAATTAAAAGTTTGTCTCCCTTATAAATCTAACACAATATCATGCAACACAATATAATGTAACATAACATAATCCAACATGAAAAAAATATAAAAATACAAATATCTAAACTTTTACAAGCAAAAACCATGAAAAATAAATAAAACAACAAAACAAATTTTTTTTTTTTAAAATCATTCAATAAAATGTAGATTTGTATTCAAATCAACATATATATAATAATAATAATAATAATAACAGGTAAAGCGGGACGAGGGTAAGTGTCAATCTATCCCTGCCTTTATTTTCTCACGAGTTTATACGAGTATCGCCGTATACATTCACCGTCTAATACGTATGGTCTATCCTCGGTCCAAACAGAGTGAGTTTTGATTAATATCCATTTTTACCCGATTCATTTTCATCTCTAACCACTGTACTAATGCGACAATATCCATGAAAAAAAATACTCATAACAATCGATGGTATTATATAAGGTGAAAACATATATTCCTCATTACGATTTATAAAAAAATAAAAAAAAAATTATACAAATATAGGGAAGACGTGAATGTTTAAATAAAAATAAATGTTTGAACAACTTCAGTTGAATAAAAGTGAAAGATATAATTTAAAATTAAAAAAAGATATAACATAAAATTAGGAAACTGAATCTCTCGTATAACTGACATATTTGTCTCCCATTAATAAAGGAAAATGATAATTTCGTAAGAAAAAAAAATTACAATTCAACAAAAGTGTACATCTTCATCAAATATTTACACATAAATATACTTATACACTTATATTTTATATTGAAATAATTTTACCCAAATAAGTATGAAATGATATACATTTTCATAATTTTCCCAAAATAAATCTATGGGGACCCGAGTTGGGGTGGTATTCGGGGCCCAAGATTTAAGCAATAAGCCCACTTAGCGAATCTTTAGTCGTTAGGATTTGCCATCAACCCAATCCCACTCACTATCCATTGGATCGTCTATAAATTTTGGGTCATGCAATTCCTGGCCATAAATGGGTGTCAGGTAAAGTCTTTGTAGCTTAGTGGCATTTCTAAGGTTCGGTACCAAGCCTAACATCTCACATTGCCCACAAGCAAACCATTTGATTAACCTTAGAAAATGAGAGGTCGAGAACGTTAGGTCAATCAATACCAAAGGTAGAATTCTTTAGCAACTAAAATAAGATGAGCATCGACCAAGTCATTATACTAACATTGATGTAATCGTCCACTAATAAGACATGTAAATTATACAATAATTAAATATTTATTGATTCATATATAGAAGTGAGGAACATGTTATTCGTTTGATTATTTTTTTTATCGGATAGTGACACTAAATAATAATGACACGGTGTCACCGTCATATTAAATATTTATTCCTTTGGCGGGGTTTTCGTTGGGTCAATCATAATGGCCTAACTTTTTTTTTCTTTTTTTCCCTCAAACGAGGCCTTTATTTTCGTATATTTATTTCAATTTTAATGTGCCATCATTGCAGGCCTTAATTTGGCTAACTAGTTGGACCCATCGGACCAAGACCTTATCCGTTGGACCATAAGACTACCCACTGACAAGTGAGTAGGCTTGTGTGCCGTATCGTATCGGGTGACACATATTTGTGTCGAATTTTAACGGGTTCATATTATAAAATATTTTTATTTATACTTAATTTATTTATTAATCATGTTTCATGAATCGTGTTATATTAAGTTTGTGTCATGTATGAACCGTGTATAACTGGTATATAAATGAATTGTATTGTAAATTTTTTTTATTGACTTTATACATACTCAATTCGTTTATTAATTGTGTCGTGTTGAGTCCACTCATTTACTAAATAAGTGACTTAAAAAATATTCAAATACTTTAATTTTATATCGTGTTAACGGATCGTGTAATTTTTTGACACCCCAACTAGTAACCATCAAGTGATGAGCAAGACCGGCCCATAACCCGGCGGATTGAATCAATCTAAATCTTCAATTGCTGCAAAATTTCATACCATAAAAGACCCTTAATTCTTTGTAGCAATATGCTATCATTCTCACTGTTATTGGATTGAAAATGAGTCCTAATATATGTTAGAATCCGCTATTGGCAGATAAAAAAAAATAATTAATTAAGTCAAAATAATAGTATTACTATTTTTCTTGTTTTCCACGTTTATGATCGCGTTGAAAGTCGAAAAATAATCCTCCTTGAAGAAATGAGTCCAAAGCTTTTAGACCACAACAACTTCATGCATTGACAAAACTCTATTTAATCTAGCTATAAGGTTTGAATACTTACAAGA